CTTTTTTTCTTTTATCTTAACTTTGTGAGTTCCAGGTTTTGCATATTCACTGAACTACATATATGGAATATATCTTGAAAAATATATTTAACTTTTCAACTAAATGTAAAAGTGTAATGTACTTGAAGAAGTCATTGCGTCTGCTGGTGCACTAATGTTTAAATTCTGTGGACTTACTGAGAATGTGACTCATGTCTACTTGTATGTTTCCGTCTGACATAAGTTATAAAGGTAATTTAATACACTGCGGGAGTTTCTCTGTCGAGTTCAGAGGTTGATCGCTGCAGGTTTTTGCAAGTTTTCATCCATCAAATAGTTTTTCTCTTCTGTGATCCGTCGCTGCAGAGGCAGACTCTCACTGACGCTCATCAGTTTGAGCGACGTTTTTGTGAGTGCGATTAACTCAAACTAGATTTAACTTGCTGCGACAAGTTAACGACTTTTCTTCAGAAGTGTTTGTGTTCAAAGGCCATTGACTTTATCTGTTTGTCGTGGAGTTTCTACTTAGAGTCAGGACTTTTCTGTTGTTGACATTGGATAATTGGCTTTGTATGATCATCCTCCACTTCCTGTTTGTTTTTCATTTGTTTGAGAACAAGATGAGGAAAAAATACTTCACTTAACTATCGTCAATGTGGCTGCTGCTCCAGTAGAGAAAGACACATTTGTGTGTGTGTGTGTGTGTGTGTGTGTGTGTGTGTGTGTGTGTGTGTGTGTGTGTGTCTGTGTGTGTGTTTGTGTGTGTGTGTGTCCTTGCCTCCTCGGCGCTCGGCTCGGGGCTCTTGATAGGACTGGATGACTGGCTGAACACCGACGACTTCCTGCTGATGCTCTTAAACCAGGGACAAAGGGACAGAGAGAAAAAGAGGACACTGTCAGATTTAAACGGAAAATGATCAAACTCAAACTGCGTGACACCATCTTTATGTTTTCGTAGAAAATAAAAAGACCATGTTGGTGTTAAATATGGAGGATCTCTGGTTCTCTATGTTTTGTGCAGCTTGATTGAGTTTAAGAGACTCTCGGGCCTGGACCTCGACTGAGTGACGTTCTGGTTTCATGGTAAAGTTAATGGGATGGAACTGTTTACACTGTTGAAGCACAAAGTGAAGAGAAACTGTTTTAAAAGGTGTCACTTGACTTAAAGTAAATTTATTCCCTGATATTTAACTTTTACTTTAGACTCAACTTGGAAACGTGACATTAATCTTGATAAACTCAGGACAACATGTTTCAAATGGAACGAAACACTCGACCTGTTCCTTGTTCTGATGGATCCAAGAGTCGACTCATAGTTTTCTTGAACCACTTGAGACCTCTGTCTGTGTCTGGCATATTTCCACTTGGCACGTGTGTTGTTACAGTCAAATGAATAAACTCTGACTAAAAACACAGCCGGAGCTCTGTAGCAGCGGTGACGTAGGTGACGTTCCCAACAAAAACTGATTGTCCAGCTCAGGTTCTGCGACCTGAGTCAAGCTTCAGTGAATTCTGAATGAACAGGTGAAGTCTTTGTGCAGCAGCAGGTCTTTATTTGCTGCGGCTCAATCACTGCAGGTCACTGACACAGTTTCAGATCATCACCGCAGACCAAGAAGACCGCCCATTAAAAACTGCACAGAGCAAAGTTTCTCTGGTTTCTCTTAAGCAACAGACACAAACCTCAATTACAGATTTGTATGCAGATAAACTGAACTCCAAATAAAGGAGACCTCCAGCCAATCACCATGAGGTTTTCTAGCAGGGTTTAATATAATATCCGTGAGACGTGAAATGGAACGAATCAGGAGAACTCAGTGTCTCCGCAGCTCGAGGCCGGACTCAGTGTTTGTCTGTGTACCAGGAGTCTGACCTCTGATCGCTGCAGTGTAATTCAGCAGAGATAATCCATCCAGGTGCAGGAATGTGTTTGTCTTCAAATGTGAGGGTGTGCCACCTGAGCAGAGTCAGAGCGGGTGTGGCCCCGCGTCTCCGTCAAACACTTCACGACCATTTCACTCCAACAGCAAACACTCAAACAGAATTCACTCCAAAATAAAGTAAATCATCAGCGAACGATTTCAGACGCAATGATTAGAATCTGCTGCTTCTGTCTGAGCCAAAGCAGAACGCAGGAAACACATGTAGAACACGTGAAGATTCATCAAATGTTTCCAGAACGAAAACTGACACTTTGCATGAGCCGTCACAGGAGCAAAGGTCAGAGCATCCAGGAAGTTCAGGAATATGAATATTCAAATTAAAATATAATATTAATATTCGCTGGTGAAAGTGAGACGGGTGCAGGACCAGACTCATGAAAACTGATCAGTGAAGCAGGAAACGAAGGATCTGAGGGTGGAAGCACATGAACAGGCTGAAGAACCTGCAGCTCAGTTTGCATCGATGGTTGTGACTGAACGCAACGTTACATCATGGTCGAGCGGTAAAACGCAGGAGTGGCTTCTGAGCCCTTCACAGAATGTGAGCAGAGAACCAGAGCTCGTAGTGTCAGGAGGAGACGGCAACAAAAAAAAACTGATTGTGGAAACTGACTTTCTTTAAAATATTCTCACAGAAAAGATAAGAGGACGTTATTTTCTCCTCCCTCTTTTCTCCTCTCAGTTACATCATTGTTTGATTGTGCCGAAGGGCTGGGCAACAAGTACTACCATTAATCACTGTGATATACTTCCAGTCATTAGTAATAGTACTACACGTAACTGAGCAACTCAGATTTATAATATGTTTGTCATTCACTTCTCTTAAAGACGAGTTTAAAACATTCACTCCGGTGCACAAATCGTCTTATTACTCAACAGTGATAATAAAGAAACCTTCATGGTGATAGTTGCTGATATGAACTAAGCTGCTGAGAGACGTGCACGGTAAAATCAGCAGTCTGACTTCAAATGAGAAGAATCTGACCAAAGAAGTCTGACACCATTTTTTTCTAAACCCCAAAGATCCAGAGAAACGTTTCACATCCTGACTGAAACTGAAACCAGGAAGTCTGTGCTATTTTTGCCATTTCATCCAAATAATCAGAACAATCACGTATTGATCAACTATTGACTGATCATTGCAGCTGTCGACGAAATGAAGTGAAACGATGAGGTCTTAGCTACTGAGCTTCAAGGACGCATCGTGTTAAGTGTGATACAATGATGTAATACTATTTTCTTTTTAAACAGAAAACTAGAGTTGTTGCTGTGTGACCTAATTCTCAGGTTTTATGTTCTTTTACACAGTCACCGTTTTAAAGTGACCGTAAATAAAAATACACAGAAAGGTCCAAATTTAACATTTAACATTCAACAACGAACGCCAGAGATCAAATATGAGTTTTACAGCTCGACAAATAAAACAAGCTGCTTATGAATCCACAGGTTTCAAAAAGAACAGTGAGATGTGAAACAACACCGAGATGATAAACAGCACAAGCTTCACTAATTCATTCATTCACAAAGTTTCTGTTGAAGTCATAATTCATAACAGACGTTTTTCCACTTTGAACAAAGCGTTAGGAGGAGAAGAGGGTTTCACTACGGTTTACTTCAACCAAGAAAACAAATATATTATAATATAGCCCAAAGATTTAGAGGATTCAAATATATATAAATACAGGCCAATGCAAAAATATGTGGGTACATACTATACTGGGTACGTGTAGTATTGTGATATAGTTTTGTGTTTTATAAAAATAAACAGAGAGAATATATAAAAATGTGACTTTGTATAATATAGTCTATGACATTGATCTTCATAATAAAATAAGGTAATTATTTAACCTTTCATAACATAGTAATGTGTACATTTAACAGACAGTTATTAATAGATACCAGTAATATATATATATATATAAAGTGGTTTTACTTTGCCTTAGTAAATCTAATTCCTTATTTTTATTATCACGTTTCATGGAAGCTGACCTCACACTGCGGATCAACTGTCAGCTCTGGACAGCAGAACCAAAAGTACCAGCTTTGCTCATGATAATAACAGTATTATATAAGTACTATTACCACTAATACTTATGTTCTTTATAAGGATAATAATTCAGGTTCTTGGTTGACGGGCCTCCTCTGACCTCGGGCCTCACCTCCACAGTCTGCTGCTGCAGGAACAAGTCGGAGTCCTGGCTGCTGACGCTCACGCGGGGCAAAGTGTGCATGTACATCGGGGACACGCACCGCACCACCTGATGCATCATGGGCTGCACCATCGGCTGCACCACCTGCTGCACCATGGGCTGCATCACCTGCTGCACCATGGGCTGCATCACCTGCTGCGGCATCATCATGAAGTTCTGCTGCTGCATGCCCTGCTGCACCGGCACCAGGTACCGCACCGTCTCGTAGGAGCCGTTCTGCACCTGCATCGGGGACATGGAGCGGGCGGAGATCACGGTGCCCGTCACCTGCTCCTGCGGGGCCACGTTCAGGGTCCGGTAGGCGGTGGTAGTCGTCTTACGGGTGGTCTGGAGAGACATGGTGACCGGTGGGAGGATCGGACCCGACTCGACAGGAAGAACAACACCAGCAGCGGAAAGTTTCTCCGGAAGTTTAAATGGAGGTATTCCTCCTCCACGGGTTCCCCGGGATGCGTCTCTGTTTCAGCGGAGAGGTGAGCTGAACCGCCCCGGGCTTCGCGTCCTCCTCTGGCGGGCAAACACGAGAAGAAAGTCCGGTTAGAGAAGTCCGACCATCGAACGATCAGCCGGAACTGCGGAGGGAGGAGGTCTGCTGCTCGGTCTGCATTCACACACAGCTCCGGTCAGGAGGTGGAGGCTGGAGGGAGGGACCGGGGCGGAGGGAGGAGGACCGAGGGGGGAGGACCGAGGGAGGAGGATCCGGGGCTGAGGGAGGAGGACCGAGTGGGGAGGACCGAGGAAGGAACCGAGGGAGGAGGACCCGGTGCCCGGGGCTGAGGGGGGAGGACCGAGGGGGGAGGACCCGGGGCCCGGGGCTGAAAGAGGAGGACCCGGGGCCCGGGGCTGAAAGAGGAGGACCCGGGGCCCGGGGCTGAAAGAGGAGGACCCGGGGCTCAGGGATGGATGGATTGTATTTAGTCTTTTTAGAACTTTTTCTTATTCTAATTTACATCGAAATACATTTTAATATTTTTCAATATTATTTTATCACAAGTAGATTGTTTTATTATTTTGATTATAATTATATATATATATAATAAAACAGATGAGTGAATAGACACTGGAGGTGTAATAACTAGTTTATGTGATTTTTTACATTTTGTTTTAAATAGTTATTTAATCATATAAAGAATGTTTTAATAATAATAATAATGATTTTAACTTTATAAGAATGAAGCCATTGTGTGATGTATATGATGTCATGGTCCATAATGAGGAAGGGTTATTTATTATTAGAGCAGGATTTCTATTATTTATTTTTATATGTTATATTTATATTTAATTTTATATGTATGTATATTTATTTGTATATTTATTTGTATTTATTTATTTATTTATTTATTTATATTTTGATGTTTTGGGCCTTTAACACAGAGTCACGTTTAACCCTCGCGATACTTGGCGGGAGCACCGTCGTAGTCTCGTCCCTGACGGAAGAACCGTCCGTGAAGAACCGGGCCATGATGGCGACTGTTCGGCGGCTCCGTCCTGCTTCTCTTCGCGGTCCGGTGGAGGTCGGTGGGTCGTCCGTGTCCCAGCGGTCCCTCTGAAGACGCCATCGCTCTCGGGTGAGTGAAACCACCGCAGAGCCCCGGGACAGCTCCGTGTTGTGATGCCCGCCGTCCGTCGTCAGCTCGGCGGCATCCTCTCGTCCTTCATCCCGGACTGACCCCGCTAGCTCCGCCACCAAACCTCATTGACAAAACAGACGATTTAACAACGCGACGCTTCCCAGTCGACGTGTCCAACTGCTAACGCTCGGTTTTAGCTTGTTAGCTAGTTGTCTGCGTTCAATCTTGAAGTCCGGACGAATAATAACGTTTAAAATAACGTTTTAAAAATGGCTGATCAACGTTTCCTTCGTCATCGAATCAACAGCAACATAACTTGTTAAAGGTAATGTTGTGTCATGATTCACATATTTCTTAGTTTTATTTTATGAATCCATTTCAGTCTTAATGGCGTCGCTCTCAATAACATCCCCATCACCCTCACTGTGAAAAACCTTAAAGTGACCAATATCTGAATGAGGTTTGGTTGTGCAGGTCTGAGGCCTCGGTCAGCAGAAATAGTTAAATTAGCTGCTGTGAACTGATTTATATTGATATATTTACTCTGTGATGCACTAAATGATTAATCTCATGATATTACTCAGTGAAACAACACATTTGTTCTATAGAAGTCTCAGTTTATTTGATTAACCACTGCTACACAATCAAACAATCACAGATTTCAGAAACATTAACCTCATTTCAATATATCCATTCATAATGTTCAGCTGGTTGTTTATCTGTGTGTGTATTTATATAGATTTACACGTTTACATCATCTTGTGAGTCTTTCATTCATTGATTGTATTGACTCTTCCACATATTCAGAATTGAATTGTCAACATATCTCCTGTATGAATACTGCTCCCATCTCAGATAGTGTGCTTTTATTTTGAAGTAAACCTCTGGTGTCAGTGAGGATGCTGCAGCCTCTGGGGTTTTGTAATCCAGCCTCTAGTCTGACATCATCCTCTGGAATAATCCTGCAACTTCAGACACGACATAATCTGCTCCTGCAGAAATAAAAACCTACATTTATATATATCTTTTCAACCATTTTGTTTTCCTTTTAACAGAAACTATAGAAAATATTCAAGTTCATAATACAAAACCAATGACAGGAAACACTTAACAGGAAGCAACATTTTATAAGAAAATAAATAGCAGATAAAAATGAACAATTAAAGATTTAAAGGTGGTTCAGTAAAGTTGAACATGTCGTGGCTGATTATTGCTTTGATACACAGACGTTGACCTTGATCTTTTTAATTAAACTGTTAATATATTCACAACACATGTAGAATAGTTAGGTTCAGTTCACTAACTCGTCGGTTTCTCTACATTTCACATTTTAAACAGGTTTTCACTGGATAGTCTCCAAACTCCAAACTGCCTCAAAATTGAATAGATGACATCGTCTCATGTTTGACCTTTGACATCTTATGTCTCCACAGTTGCTTCCCTGGCCTTGCTGCTCACCCACAATGCATTGCCAGAGGCTTTGGGTTGTCTCCGACACTCCGATGTAACGTTGCCACCACTCCATCTTCAGCAGATAGCAGTTTTGTAGCAGGAAGGTGAGAGCTGTTCCCCAGCCGTCTTATTTAAGTCTCTGTTTGCATCTCGTGTTCACTGCTGCTGTGAGAGGAAAGATGGACGTTCACTGTCGGGTTTTCTGTCCACTACCTGACGTGTTTGTAGTTTTAACTGTTGGAAAACTTCTCTCCATCTCTTTTTGTCCAGGTCCTGTCCTGATTGGTCGTGTTCACTGTCTTTCTGAAAGCATGTCTGGCTCAGGTGATTTACCAGGTGAGGGTTTCTTGAAGCTGCACGTGAGGCATTGAGGGGATTTATGTAAATTGTAGCTACAGAAAGAAAATAACTATAACTTAAACTACTTTTATATATCCTTGTAAATACTTTTTCTATCTTCCGGTATTTTGTCAAATATGTTTTTTCCAAAAGTAGTTAAATAAAAAACTCTTGATTTGCTGTGAGAAAGATCTGTTGTGAAGTTGTCCTCATTGTTTGTGTCCACAGCCATTGAGGGTCCCGGGATGGGCGGGATGAGGCTTCCCATCGGGATGACCCGACGGGCCCTCAGCTACGATGACAACCTGGAGGCCCCCATGTCCACGCCCCCCCATGACATCAGTATCAACAACTTGTGGAGACGGCCCATAATACCTGAAAGGAAGTTCACACAGCTGGCTGAGGTGAGACGGGGCTTCCCGAACACACACACGACAGTGATGATGGTGATGGTGATGGTGATGATGATGGTGATGATGATGATGATGATGATGATGATGTGTGTCCAACAGGAGGATGAGAGCGGAGCAGTGAGTCAGCCTGCGTTGCAGAAAAGGCCACCGGGCGTAGTGAAAACCAAGGCCTCCTCCATCATCATGAACTCCCTCATCACCAGTATGTTACAGATGTTAATGACAGTTAGAAATAATCTCTTTTGGCTGAGAACGAACTGCCAGGTATTCGATTAGAGCTCCCAACACCGAGAGGAGATATTAGCATGTGAGATATAAGGTAGCTAAGTCACGGCCATAGACACGGCCCTGTCAGTCATATCACTGAAAATGTCCTGGAACTTACAAAAAGAGTGGCAACCCCTTAGATAAGATTCTGCCTGAAGAAATGTTTTATTTACTTATGTTGGAAATTTGGCAAAGCTGAAGAATAACTAATGCTGTTGTGAGTGGTGTAAAAAGAAAAGAATGTTCGTCGTCAGCATTGAGATTCAGGATTCCCACAACCTCTGTTCACTTTTTAAAAAAACTGCATTTTAAGACCACAAGATTTTAACGTTTATCTTCGTTATTGATTTCAAATATTCTCCCGCTGTCTTTCAGAGCAGACTCAGGATAGCATGCACAGGTTTGAGCAGAGGGCGGGCCTCACCGACACCAGCTACACGCCCCACAAAGGCCTCACCGCTGAGGAGACGAGACTCCACCACCGCATGCCAGAGTCTCTCCAGGTGAACAAACCTAATCACACAGTCACCACATATAAACAGTGCAACCAAGATGCCACTGATATTTGTGAGCAGATGTTCAGGAAGGATTTAAGACACATGCAGACAGAAGTTTACCACCATGATTTACTGATCCTGCTCGAACAGTAAAACTGAAGACTTGTTTTGTTGCTCTTTAGAAACTCCAGATCCAGAGTATGGAGGCCCGAGAAGAGCGGCCGAACTCCTCAGCCCAGTCCACTCCATCCAACACACCTCACAGCTCCCCAAAGCAACAACGCAGGTACACACACACATTTTTACTCTCCTGATGCGTAGAACCTCAGAGTCCGTTCCATCCTGACCTAAAAACCACTGGACATCGTTAACTGGGTCAACTTTACACGCTTTGTTTTTTTGTTTTGCAGGACCTGGTTTGGTAGTTCGGGGTCAGAGGTCAGTATGAGCTCCTCCAACAGCAGCATGGACATGGGGGGAGGAGAAACAGCTGCAGGCGCGGTCGAGAAGTGGAGCGTGTTCACGCCGCGTCCATTCATTCATAAGTCGACCTCTGACCTGGGATCAGATTCGTCAACTGCAGGTAAATTTCATCGTCCTCACAGCGAGAAACAAAATCCTCTTTGTCTCCGGCTTCTCAAGATAAACACAGAAACTCACTGGAAGGTTTTTGTTGTTCGGTATTTGGGTTAATAGATGAAGAAATGACCTTCAGCCCGACGGTAAACACTGACTAACATTAGAGCGGATCGTCTGTGAAGCTCTGCACTTATTTGCTTTTGCAGCAGAGTTTCTCTGCAGTTCAGTGATTTCAGAGTCAGATCACCGACGACGAGAAACTGTGTCTAGATTTTCACATGTTGGACGATTCCGTCAGTTTGGAAACTGAGAAAATCTTTTCCCCAGGATGACTTTAGGTAGGTGGTTCAAGAGACAGATGTTTGAGGTTGAGTCGTAGGAGCAAAGGTTTGTAGACTTTTAAATAACCAAATTGTGTTTAGTATCTTTTATTATTCACATTAATGCATGAGTAGAAAAATATTCACATTGATATGATAAACAGTGAAGTGACAGACAGACTTCCCGATGTTCAGATTCTGTTTGATATCAGCTTCAACAGTTTATGTTGATGCATTAGCAGGAATGTATTATTCTAACTATAATACACTGAGACCAGAAACAGATATTTAAAATATAAAGAGTTTGTGATTATATAATATTTATGTTATATTAGTAATGTGATTCAGCTGCTTACATTTATTCCATTTGAATTAAATACATAAAATGTATTTTACGCTCACACTTTCTCTGCGTTCCTCCTCCATGGAGATAAAATAACCTCAGGTGTCGTCTGTGCACACGTGTGTTGAACATCAAGATCTTCTACCAACACTCTCCTGTTTTTCTGATGAACTCAAACACACCACAGAAACAGGATGAGTCCAGAAAGCTCATATATCTTTGCCAAAAAAATGAGAACGTGGTTTCTCCTTTTTTCATCTCCCAGCAGGCTTTGCTCTGCAGGCGTACCGCGGTGCCCAGAAGCCGACCCCCATGGAGGTGATGAAGTCGCAGGCCACGCGGATGTCCGACAGCATTGACGCTCAGAAGGCGGCTCCTCCCAAAATGGAGATCCCCACAGTGGAAGGTCGGCGGCAGGGACCGCGACCGCACAAGCTCAAACCCAGAGACATGAACGTCTTGACGCCCTCCGGCTTCTGAGGCGTGACGTCTGTCGAAGCCGCTTTAAGGTCCCATGAAATATAAACCTCACCGTGTTGGTACCAGGTATCTCTGAAGCTACAGTCACATCATCCACCATTTAATCACAACTACAGCAACACTGCTCTTTAGTAGTTTGTACATCGTCCCTGTTAGCATGACACTTAAAGTTAAAGATCTGGGAACGAAGTGACGTCGCTGAAAAGGGAGTAAAGAGGAGTGAGATGATTTATTTAGGAGAGAAAACATCAGAGATATTTCAAAACCATTGTCCTTGTTCTGATGCCGATTCTAATACCGGGACTTTACTTATCTGCCGATACTGAGTGAGAATCCGGTTCCACTTGTGACGTCTTGAATAAAACACGTCACTGTTCCCTTCGTGAATAATTTCTACGTTGCTGACATAAACTCTGAATTGGAAAAATCCCGTCTTCTTCTTCGCTCTCAAAACAGAACTTGCTACAACTGCTGTTGTGAAGTTGTAAGTTAAGTAAAAGCTCCTCCCTCCGGGTGACGCTAACATACTTTAAAGACGTGGAATCGGATCAATACGTTGATCAGACCTGAGGTGAGCAGCTCCAGTGACTTATGTGCAACTTAAAAATTAAAAAACTATTTCATGGGACCTTGAACAGCAGCACCAGACAAACACTGAACTGTGCAACGTCTTCACAGCTTTCCCATCCGCACCGCTTTGACGTATTTACTGTTCTGCTTCGCTGTAAAATCAAACATTTCTCTTACTCGTCACTCTTCTAACTGTTACACGTGTCTGCAGCATGTTGACGTCGACCGATGTTACTGAACCGAACCTCCGAGTCCCAAAGACGTGGAGCGATACTGTCAGATTTATTCCCGAGGAAAAGTCGAGGTGAAGTTGAAGATGATTTAAATGATTCTCTGTCAATGCACTTTACGCCCACTCAGCCCGACTCAAACCTGCTCTCGTGTTTCTCTGCAAACCAACATTTCTTTACTCTCGATAATGTTTAACATCTTATCAGTGTCCAGAAACTTCTCATTCCTTTTCTTAAAGGGGCATTTCACTAAGCAGAGAGGAGAGAAGAAGCAAAACCAATTCCTTCAGTGTAGATTCATAGTTGAGATGAATCCAAACAAAAGAACAAAAAAAACAGAAAAAAAACCGTTTGACTCAGGTACTTTGGCAGGTTCCTGCTCACTGAAACGTTCCACTGGTTTGGTTTGTGTTACCGTTTGTCTCTTAAAATGTTTTAATGTATAGAATGTTCTACTACTTTACTTACTTTTAGTTTTCAGGACCAGAAGAAGAAAAACCCACCTGGTGTGAGAATTTGTAAAAGTCAGAGCTGCATGAGACTGATGCTGACGAGCTGCTGGAGAAAAGGTTTTAAAGTAGAGTCAAGATTTTGGTGTGAAAAGAATTCTGAGATATATTTATTTTAAAATATTGGCTCTTTTGGATGTTGTAAAGAAATGTTACTGA